CCCCAAAACCCCAAAACCCCAAAACCCCATTAAATAAGTAGTGATAATCGAATGATTTTTAAAAATCAATAATAATTTAATTCAAGCATCTAAGCTTTTGATTGTCTGAATAGCATAATCATAGAATTCAGCTTCATTAATTTTGTGATCTTTCAAATTAATAGCAATCAATTTGAATTCGAGGAGGGAGTTAGTAATCATGAGCTAATTTACATAGTGAAGATACTATGACTCTGATCTATCTTTTAGTAAATAAGCAAAAGCTAGAGCAACCAAGATTAGTGATCTTAGCTTCAATACTTAATCAATCTTTACAATAGCTATCAAATCTGTTATAAATTGATTTGGATTAAGTTGATGATTCTCATATTTAATATTCCAAATGATTTGGAATAGACTAACTAAACTAGGCAGCAATGTGACTTAGTTTTTAGGGATTTGGATTCTTAAAAGTGATAAGATTTCAGATCCATTAATTATCAAGAACTCCTTATCACTAACCTTATTATTGCCTAAAATCTGCTGATGCAGTCTAAAATCATTGATAGTGTTCTATAATCTCTCAAAGTTATCTAAATCTAGCTTTCCTTTCTCGAGTTAACATCTAATTTCTCTAAATTTAATCTTTAATTGAGAAATGTAGTCATTATTACCACTGGCTAAAATTTTCAGTATAATGATTAGATAGTTATGAGTGTCACCTAGTTTTATGTAAAATTTAACCAAATCGAACATGATTTTTCCTAGTAATTCAGGAGATTCATATCTGAAAGTCGCATCTTCGATCTCCTTCAAAACAAAACTAAGTAAATTATTGTCTAAGACTGTGAACTTATCAAATAAGCCTTGAAGATCTAACTGTTAAAAGTTAGCGTATTTAAGTACATTAGTCAGGTAACTACCTAATTTAGTCAAATCACACAAATTCTAAGAAGATTGCAGGACTTCAATTAAAACTTCAAGTCTTATTGAACCATTCTCAAAGGTATCTAGAATAAGTTAAGGAATAACTTTCCAATCAATCGCTTTGCCTTTCTTTTAATTAATTTAATCCTTTGCTTAGCTAATCAATTTTTCTCGAATATTAGAGATTGATGATATATCCTCCTTTTATATTTTAGAAAAGTTAACATTTCTTAACTGTTTGCTATCTGCTTTTTAGCTCAATTCATGTTTGATAAGCTCTATAATTAGACCCTTATTTTAAGTGGCTTTCCAAATGTTATATAGCTGATCTCTAACTTCATCAGATTTACTTTTTACTAACTATTTATGCATTTCTATAAACTCATCTTTATTATTATCCTTTAACTCCATTCCAACTTCTTTTAAACATAGTGTTTAGATTCCATATTCAAAGATGTAAGTTACAAAATGCTTCAACTAGTGAGCTCTAATTTTCAAGTTTTTGTTATGACTAGGCAGGAGCAATTGATTAAAGACTACCTGATTAATGAAATTAAAAGTTTAAATAGCATCTTTAACATCCTCAGTCCTCGGGAACTGCAACAAATTAAATGATCTCTAATCAAGCTCAAGATCGTCAAGCTCTAAAACACAACATCCTAAAAATCTTGCGTATTCTCTGGTAAGTGGGCTGTTAGAACTCATCTTTGATAGATCGAAGCTTCTGAAGATGGAGTATTTCTAGTTCATTATCTTATATGTTAATTGATGATCCAAAATCTAATTATCAATTAGATCAGTTATGCATGATAAACAAATAGTGGCAACTTAATAACTTTCATCATCTAATTCATTGAACGGTTTATTTACCTTTGAAAGTATTTTTTCTATCAAATCCAGTAGTTTTTCTCCGTACTCAGTTTTTGGGGAGGATGTTACCTTCTTAATAATTCCCAGGATTTATATTATCTATGGCTTAGAATTATTAATTGATAGTTGATACTCAATCATATCCTTCAATTGGTCAAAATACTTGTTGTCAAGTAACTAGAGAGCCAAATTAGAAAATATGTCTAAGCTTTGAACAATAGCATTAAAGTCTTTTGGCTGGTTGTAAAGTTTTAAAATTAAGAACTAGATGAATTTATTGTTTCTTTTAAGACTTGGCTGGGCACCCTTTAAAATCAATAAGTTAACTATTTTTGTTAGGTTTTCATGAGAGGACTAATTAAGGCAAGATACAATTTAACTTTGCAATTCAGCTAGAAGATTTTGAGAACTAGGATTGCTAAGTAACTAGTCTAAGATTTTAAAGAATGCTTTAGGATCACAGGTAAACATGTCTAAAATTGTTGACAGATTAAAAATATCAGTAGGTTTCATATTAGATTTTAGCACAAATATCTTGATCGATGCTTCAAGTGCATCTTCATTTTTACGATTTTTCATTATATGAACTAATGGGATGAATCTTAAAAGTAATTTAGAAAGTTTAATTTCTTCCATATCAAAACTCTATGTCTCATGCCAATCAGCGATTGATTTAAGGGTTGAGTATCGTCCCAGTCTTTATTGATAATGAATTATTTTTCTTAGGTTTTAAATAGTCCTTGAAGTTACCTGCGCAGATTTAATCAAATATTCTGTACAGATCATAATGAGCTAGTAAATAAGTTATATAAAGTGGAAAATTACGACATTAATTTCATTTTTAGCAGAAAATATGCTTCTTATTAATCTTTCTGAGACCAGATAGGAGGACAATAATTCTTTAATAATAATGGATGTCTCGTCATGTAACAACCATTCTAGCACAATGATGACATTTTCAGAATGCAAATAATCATCCAAATCAAATACTATAAACACACTAGGTGAAAAGATTTGAAATTTACATTCCAAAATGGTCTACAGTTAATTGGATGACAAAGTCTTTGGATCAATTTCAGCAACTTTTTTCAATATCACATCGTATAACTTTTCATTATTTTTGACAATACATTTTATCATATTGAAGTTCCCAAGAATTTAATCAACCTATGATTAATAATAATTATAACTTTACATTAAGCTTTATGAGCAACTTTGGAAGTAGAGCTTATATCTGATTATCTTAATTATATGACTCGCAAATAATATTTAAGGCATAAGCCAAGTATTCAGTGACTCCAATGATTTTATCTATAACGTCTTCTTCAAGAGTTTTATATTGTTTAATCTAATGACTTATTAGTTCATATGGGAACAAAGATTTGATATCACTCTCCTTTGTGAACTTGTTTATCATGAACCAATGAGTCTTGGTATTCAGCTCAGATTCAGCTAATAGATACTAAAATATTATGGAACCATGAACATGAGAGTTTGCTATCTAGTATAATTCTCTATCAATCAAAAGATTAGTAACTTAATGAATATTTACTCTAATGTCTTCTCATTCAAAGGCTATTTGTTGACTGCTCTGAGAAGTTTTCCAAACTGAAAAAGCATCTCATTCTAATCACTTTTAGCATTCTTGATTTTCTGAAGTATCTTTCTTTCCATTCTTCTATTAATTATATTTGTATTTCAATGATTCAAATATGTGTAATTTATTAGAGCTGAGGGGTTTTGGGGTTTTGGGGTTTTGGGG